ACACGGGAGCCTGCGCCGGCTTGGCGGCTAGTAGGGGACACTAGGCCTTCATATGGCCCACCTGTTCACAATTGTAACAAAGTCTGACTCCGGGAGCTGGAGTCTGCTGCCTGCAATCCCTGGCCAAATGGCCCTGCTTGCCACATTTTTGGCACCCACTCCTCGATCGACAAATCCCCGAATGAGCCTTTCCGCACTTCCCACAAGTGCGGCCTGGCTGTCCCCCAGATCTGGTATCAGCGGTCTTAGACCGCTTCGGCGCCGGCTGCGACTGTGTTGGGGGCTGTTGCTGCTCCCTCAACTACAACTCAATCTCCAACTCACGCCGCCTAGCGGCCTCCTGTAAGTCCAGCAGTGTATCACATTGTTGGGTGGCAACAAACTGACGGATGTCCGTATTGAGCATGCTCAAATAACGTGTCATCTGAGCCTGCTCAGAAGCAAACTCCGGGCAAAACATCGCCCTCTCAGTAAACATGCGGGTGATCTCCGTCACCGACTCCGTACCCTGTCTAAGATCCAAGAACTCCTGTGACAACCGCTCGCACTCGACCCGTGGGATATAACGAGCGCGGAACATATCTCTGAACTGCTCCCAAGTAACAGCAACTCTCTGGTCATCCGTATACGACCCAGTCATCAATCTCAACCAGTCCTTTGCCCCATATCTCAGCAAGTTCAGGGCACATCTGACCTTCTGGTCAGTAGGACATGAGCGCGTGAAGAAACATCCCTCCACGTCAGACCGCCACCTCATGGCTATGATCGGATCCTGAGTCCCATCGAAGGTTGGGGGCTTCGTGTTATCGAAGTCCCGGTAATGAAAAGCTCAGCCAGCTCCTCCTCCTGCCGCTGTTACAGCCGTTGTAGCTGTTGCGGCAGCCGTCTCAGCAATGGCTGCATATATGTCATCAAAATACTCCATCATAGCGGTGTTAATAGACCCAAACATCTCCGGAATCTGACCCCGGACAATCTCGACCACCTCCTCGCGGATGATCTCCCTGACATGATCCTCTGTCAACACTGGCCCACCCTGGCCGATAATCTCGGGCACTGACGGGGCCTCCTGATCACCCTGCCCTGATCCCGATCCGGATCCAGTCACAAAACGCCTCGTAACCACCATACTGAAAATACACCAGGAAGATATCAGATAATCCGCACAAATAACAGGTAACCAACTCCCAACTAGACCCTAGGGGTTGTGACTTCCTTGCTACGCGTATGGGTCCTGTGCTTCAGTAGTACGGGCCCATACTACCTCCCACACCTACCCATATTTGTCTCAAGTATCACCACAACACCCTAACAATATATATATACATGGTGGTCGCTCAATCCTCACCCTTAGAGGAAGGCTAACTATCTCATAACTGACCTACCGGCCTCACACAACCCACCCATCCATGAAACTTCCACCAACCCTGCAACCCTGCAACACTAGTGTATGCTAGTCATACATAACGCTGGACCCTATAGACTTTCGAATACCTGATCCTACCCTAAGCCCTTCATCAAACAAGAATAGGAAATAAGGCCAAACCAAACATTCTCATGCTATAAGGTCTTAATTATGTACGGCCGTGATGCATACACTAAGCAACTACATTAATGATGTCAATTTCATATAAAGAAAACCCTTGGCTATCAGGCATCATACAATCAGACAATTCTATCATGCAATTCCTGAAGATCCCTAGCCTAGTACTAGCATGCTGTTCTAACATATCACATAATTAAATAACCGCATGGTATTTTGGGGTCTACTTACTGGCTCTGGCTGATCGTACACTCTGCATCCTCATTTACTTATTTTGAAAACCATTTAAAATCATTTTGAAAATCTTTCCTTGATTTGAGACTGGATTCACACGAGTGTTCATCCAATTCACTCAAACCAAGACTCTGATACCAACTTGTAACACCCATAAAATCATGCCAAATTTAAACTTTTTCAAAACATTTCAAAACCATTAATCATTACAAAACTTGTTTTCAAAATAGTATAATATCAGAGTATCCCATAAACAAAGTCATAAATGTGAGGAGCTGTACGATCACGCCTTTGCCTTCCCGCGATCATCTGAGGTACCTGAAACCAAAACTAAAATTGTAAGCCCGAAGCTTAGTGAGTTCCCCCAAAATACCCATACACGCAACAATATACATATAATCACGAACATCATACTATGGGTCCAGTCAACCATCAGGTTGGAATACCCCAGGCCCTCAACCATCCGGTTAGAATGCCAACATACTATGGGTCCAATCATCCTCGAGATGGAATACCCCAGGCCCACACCCAACAGGTTGGCATACCCACATACTACGAGTCCAATCATCCTCGGGATGGAATACTCACGGTCCACAACCATCGGGTTGGAATGCCCAGGTCTATTGGCTCTCGCACAAAGCAGATAAGCCTCAACCACTAATCAAACATGTGCACATATATCAGCTAATCACATAACAGTCTATAGACAGACAAACCGATCTAACAGATCATAACAACATAGTAACATCCTATCTACCAGGATATTGATCTAACAGATCATAGCAACATATAACATTCTATCTACCAGGATACTGATCTAACAGCTCATAACAACATATACCATCCTATATACCAGGATACTGATCTAACAGATCATACAATACTCAAGCATATAACATATCAGGATAACAATCCAAAAGGGCCGTCCTTGGTGCCTTAGACCCTTGGTATAGTGAGGAAAACTCACCTCACAACTGTCGAACTGAAGCGATAAGCTCAAACTCTCAAATCACCGCCACGTACTCCACTGCCTTCAAACTGATGCCAATAAGCAGAAGGGTCAGATCCACTAGCTCCTATTGCACCACTCCTTTTATACTTCAAGTCTTCTTCTTGCAAATCACCTTCCAAGCTGGGAGTCGGGGTGTTACACCACATAATCTTCATCACCCTCGGGAAGGGTCAAAACCGATGCCTCACATAAATTCTACCTCATATCCTCGAATGCCACCTGCTGCTCAGGCCCCCAATGAAAAGCAAATGCCTTATTCGTCAATTGAGTCAAAGGTACCACTATCTTTGAGAAATCCTGGATAAACCTCCGATAATACCTGAACAACACAAGGAAACTTTGAATCTCAGATGGAGACCTTGGAACCTCCCATCGCATCACAACCTCAGTCTTACCCGTATCAAGTAAGATACCATCCTGATTGACGAGGTACCCTAAAAATTGAACCTCGCGCAACCAAAACTCGCACTTAGAGAATTTGACATAAAGCCTCTCCTTCTTAAAGTCTCAAGAACCTCCTGCAAGTGCACCTCGTGTTGCTCCTCGATCTTAGAATAGACCAAAATATCATCAATAAACACAATCAGTGACTGATCCAGCATCGACATGCACACCTGGTTCATGAAGTCCATGAACGCTGCCAGTGCATTGGTGAGCCCAAATGCATCACCACGAACTCATAATGGACATAACAAGCCCTAAAGGTCATCTTCTGGATATCCTTATCCCTGTCTCTCATATGGTGGTGACCCGACCTGGAAGTTTGGGACGTTACAATGAGACGAGACCCTAATCATAAGGTTTGCTTAAATAGGGCTCAATGCCAGAGGTCTAGGGTTTCGATCCCATCCGCCACCACACCACAACCAACACCTGATTGCATCGCGACTTAAATGATGTGGTCGTACCGTGGCGGGTCTCTACCACTGCACCACAATCAGTCATAAATCCCCAAACATCAAACTTGAAATAATTAAATGCTAAAAGATTGATACCTGAAAACGGATGTCACACGTTTAACCACGAATCGAAAGCAGCAACATGAAGCATGTACTCTCTTCATTAATTTGAAAATCCATTTCGATAATCTTCACCACACTTTGAATTGAAACGAAACGAATGTCTTGAAGTATCTCAAGATCAAAGCACCATCTCAATCGAAATCTCTCCATCATTTAACCCATTAAAATTAAATCACATGATTGTACCACCGAAATTTGATTCGAGATCGAAAACCATCAAGAACTTCTTTCGATAATACTTCACATCGAAATTAGTGTGCACATCGAAATCTCAAGGCATCTTCTTCAACGAAACAACATTGGACCATCATTTTCTATAATTTGCTAACCTATAAAACTCAGAATAAGATCGAAATTAGAACTAGACGAAATTAGCAATTTATCGAAAATCAGTGTTGATCAAAACAAAACAATATCATTGTGTTACAACCAATCAATCAAAAAAAAAAAAAAATCGGTTCAACATACCATTCGATAATCATATCTCAAGCATCAACACATTATTTTTATATCAAACCTTGTGTTTATAGCTTCCTCGATGAAAAAGAGACAAAAAAGAGTTGGATCAATTTTGAGAAAAAGTGGCACGCATACGCAAAAGAAAGTGAGGGAGAGGGGGGAGGGAAGGACACAACTCTTGGGTTGGATGAGCCTGTTTTTTAATTAATAAAATATTAAAATAAAAATGAAAAAATACAAAAAAGAAATTAAAATAACAAAACGGTCCTTACAACTATTTAGGGACCAAAACCATTAAAGTTTTTTGATTTTATACCTTCCGTACAAATTGAAATATTTTTAGATCTAAAGTATAAATAAATCCCATTATCTTGTTTGTCTTAATTGAAATATTTTTAGATCTAAAGTATAAATAAATCCCATTATCTTGTTTGTCTTTTTTTTTTCAACGGTGTAGGCCCTAAAAAGAGCCAATAGCCCAATACCTACAGTTTGATGGGCTTAAATAAATATTATAATCCAACCTAGTTTCCACATAAATTATAATCTAAATAATGGGCTATCAATCAATAGAAACGTTAACACAAAGCAAAAAAGTATTATATTTTTGTTAAGTTTTAACATAAGGTGTCATGAATTATTTAAGAATGGAGTATTCTTTTGTCCTTGGATCCTTGAGGACAAAATGGGACCCACATGGATATATAGGTTAAGAAAATGACAGAAAATATGCCATGTGTCGTCAGAGATTCCCTCTTCCCTTCCTGCCTTCTGCCTTCTGCCTTCATCTTCACGAGTCAAAACTCAAAACCATTCGAGCTTCCTTCCATCCCTCAGACACTGCTACGTATCAATCGATCCCTCGCATTCCAACGCTCTTTCACATAGATCCGAAAATTTCTCTCTCCATTCCTTCTCACACCTCACTCGTCGTCATTCTCAAGCACCCCATTTCATTCGTCTCATCATAAAACTATAAAATAATCGAGTTGTTGAGTTTTGACCCATTCAATTGACTTAAGCAAGATAATAATTTTTCACATTCATCTGAATTTCAACAATTCTTCAACACTCCGATCTGGGTCTCTCTCTTTATTGAGTTTCCGCTTTTCATTCACCGGGGTAGGTTTGTATATTCTAATTAGGGATCTTGAATCGTTTTGGGTTCATAATTATTAGTGCGATTTGGCGAATTTAGGGTTTTGATTACATGGGTAAACATTCCAGTTTATTTTATATCGAAGGTTCATAATGCAATTAGGAAGTTGGGGTTTCAAGCTATCAATAACGTTTATATTGAGGATCAAATTGATTGGATCGCTGGATTAGATGATATATATTGGATTGTAAAGCTTCATATCTGGAAACAGTTATGGGGTGTATGTGCTCGAAAGGAATATCAGCAAATGAGTATTCAGAGAAGGAATCAAAGAGATCATCAAAACGTTTCCTCGGTTCTTCAAGAAGGGATGAAGTTGCAGTGGACGTTGATAATGGCAGCAATGAAGCTACTGCTAGGCTAATTTCAGAGGGTAACAGAGAAAACACAGCAAGTTCAGGGCAAACACCATGGGATGAAGGGGAGAGAAAGAGTGTGGTTTATGAGCAGCAACCTGTGGTGCAAGTGCAACCGCTTGTGCAACTATCTCAAAAACCTGCAAAAACTGAAACCAAGGGAAACGGAGAGATACACCAGCCTGAAATCTGTAGAACATTTAGCGTTGCCAATGGATTTGATGGTGCTCAAGAAGCTGCTGGTTGGCCTTCTTGGCTCACTGCTGTTGCCGGGGAAGCCATTAAAGGATGGTTGCCCAGAAGAGCAGACTCATTTGAGAAATTAGACAAGGTCTGCCCTTCTTTTGCTTATATTTTAAAGTGAAGCTGTTAGATTTATATAAATTGTGTACATTTGGTTGCAGATTGGACAGGGGACTTACAGCAGCGTGTACAGAGCTCGAGACCTTGAAACTGGAAAGATTGTTGCTTTAAAGAAGGTAAGGTTCACTAAGATGGATCCAGAAAGTGTTAGGTTTATGGCAAGAGAGATTATTGTTCTTCGTAGGTTAGACCATCCAAATGTGATGAAGCTTGAAGGTTTACTGACATCTAGGGTTTCGGGGAATTTGTATCTTGTATTTGATTACATGGAGCATGATCTTGCTGGACTTGCAGCATCTCCTATGATTAAGTTTACTGAATCACAGGTATATCTCTTTCTTTTAGGCAATCATCTTGTTTATTGAGTAGAACAATTTGTTTCCAATAACATATAACTTCTATCTTCTAATATGGATTTATTGTATTTAACTTGCAGATAAAATGTTATATGAAACAATTACTTTGTGGGCTAGAACATTGCCACAATCGTGGAATCCTACATCGTGACATCAAGGGCTCAAATCTTTTGATTGACAATAATGGGAATTTAAAAATTGGGGATTTTGGTCTAGCAACTATTTTTAGCACAAATCAAAGGCAACCTTTAACAAGTAGAGTTGTTACTTTGTGGTATCGGCCTCCTGAGCTTTTATTAGGTGCTACTGATTATGGAGTAGCTGTTGATTTGTGGAGTGCTGGTTGCATCCTTGCTGAACTTTTTGCTGGCAAGCCTATAATGCCTGGAAGAACAGAGGTACTTTATATAAACCATTAAGTCTTATATGGATAAAGTGGCTGAATGGGTAATGATATAATGTTGTATACACAAAGACTGTTTCTTTTCTAGACTGAATAGACTATCTGAATCTGAATAAATGATCATTTTACCCTTCTATTGGGAAATGACAATTTGTCAAACAAATCAAACCCATTTCATAGTTTATATCTTATTAAACAAATCAATCCAATTTCATAGTTTATACTTTATACTCTATACCAATTATCAAACTAATTCGAACCTCATCAAATCAAATATGTAAACCTAAAGCTAAAAAATGTAATAGAAAACCTGAACCAATTTCACAAATTTGAACCTAATCAAAACTGTAAATCTCATAGTATTCTTACATGTGAAAGTATAGATTTACAATTAGTTTTTTATTTTATGAGTATTCTTTTTTAAATAAAACAAAGCTCCAAATGTCTAACCATGTGCTTCAAGTCCGAATCCATAAGGAATGGTTAGGGGATAGAAAGGCAAAAATGTAACAAATAATGTTTGTATGTATTAAGCTAGGTTTTTTTTTTTGGGTTAAACATATACTTCAACTCTAATCCCTGTTGTATGATTTTTTCACCTTTTTAGTCACTGAAACCGACACCGTGATTAGATGCATGTAGAATGACTATTTTGCCCTCTATTTCATATTTTTCTTTTTAATCATTTGTATTAATAATTATTCACAGGTGGAGCAACTACACAAAATTTTTAAACTTTGTGGTTCACCATCTGAAGAGTACTGGAGAAAATCAAAGTTGCCTCATGCCACTATTTTTAAACCACAACAGCCTTATAAACGGTGTGTGGGTGAGACATTCAAGGATTTCCCTCCATCTGCTTTAATGCTTTTGGATTCTCTCCTTGCAGTTGAACCTCATAACCGAGGATCTTCTTCTTCTGCACTTCATAGTGAGGTACACTTAAGCTCTATTCTGTATGAATGGGTAATGATGTCTGTCTGGAATCTGGATAAAGTGTTGTATACATAAAATTGACATGAGAGTAGTTGGGAAGATAAAAAAGAAGGCCAAAATAGGTAAATGAGTAGTGTCTTAATACGTTAATTGATGTTTTTTTGGGGGGGATAACCCATTAAGAGTAAAAAAGAAACAACATTGTATAGTTTTATCTAGATTAAGGGATTAACCCATTAAGCTCATTAAGTCAAAAAAAAAAAAAAAAAAAAAAAAAACGTGGTGTATGTACTTACTATTTGAGTATTTAATACAGTTCTTCACAACAAAGCCTTTACCTTGCCACCCTTCAAGTTTGCCCAAGTACCCACCAAGTAAGGAGTTTGATGCCAAAATGCGGGATGATGAAATGAGAAGGTAAATTTTCTTGCTTTTGTTTGCAGGACATTTTATGAGGAGGAGGAGGAGGGCATTTACGTCTTTTGCCCACACATGATGTGTTATACTCATTTTTCTTTATTGTGATGGCAGGAGTAAAGCAAGTGGTGGAAAACCACGTGGAGTGGAACCGTTAAGAAATGGTACAAGAGAATCAAGAGCTCAGCCAGCACCCGATGCTAATGCAGAATTGCATGCATCCATACGGGTATTTTGTTTTCTCACTTAAAATTTCAAAAAAATATATATGGCTAATTTTTTATTAGGATAATATACTTCTTAAAGTCTACCCAATTATAGTAATGAAAATTTCTTTGTATTTTGAGGACATTGTTATTTGGGTAAAAATTTAAAATTACAATCCTGTAGTAAGAAATGAAAGTAGAATGCTATTATAAACAAATAAACGAAAGTAAGTAGCTATTTCTTGCATTTAACCCAAAAATAAAATGGGCTAATCACTAAAATGACAAAAAAGGGAAAAGGTCATATCACAAAAGGACCAACTTTTCAAATTGTATCACAAAATGATCACCTATTAGGCTTTTGTGAAATAACTTTATTGTGCAAAATTGCTTTATCAGTGGTCCCCACAACAAAAAATCTTCAAAAAGATCCGCAAATCTTTTTTATTTTGTGAAAATGACATCATTTTCGTGAAAAATGTAGTGGGGACCACTGAAAAAACAATTTGGCAAAAAAAGGTATTTAACGAAATTCATTTGTGAAATAAGTGGTCATTTTGTGATAAGTTTGAAAAGTTGGTCAAATGGTGATAAGACCACCCTATTTTTGGTGGTGATTAGCAAAAATAAAAAAGTAAAAATTGTGCTAAACCCTAAAAGTAGAGTGATGATGATGATGATTAATTGATTATGTTTGATGCTTTTCAGAAGCGACTAGAACAACAAAACCCTAAAAGTAGTAGTGAGAAATTCAACAATGAAGAAGATACTGAGTCTGCAGGCTCATTACAATATGGCATCTACAACAATCGATCAAATTCAAAGCAACCCGAAGGCCTAGAAAAGCCCGATGAGCCTCTTCAAGTTGGGCTTGATTCGGCCCAACACTACAAACGTGGGGCCCAATTGTCCAAGTTTTCAAATTCGTTAGCTTGGCATGGTAGTTCACGGTTGGACCATAGTAAAGGTAATAGTTCACATTGGCCCGAAGATCGTCCAAATGGAAAGTATCACCAATTAAATGATGCTGACGTGGAATCATCTCACCAAATGGATGCCCCTAATTGTTCTTTCAAGAAGCATGAACATCCACCGGGGAAGGTATGTAAAACCTTTTTTCATTATAGTTTGATATGCCTCTTATTGGTCTGGTAAGAGGTGAGTCAGATTCAGACTGTTTGATATCACAGTTAGAAGCTGATATTTGCTCTTCTTCCTTGTAATGTAAATGATAAACAGAAAAGAAAAGTTATAAGCTTGTTATAGATTATCAATTGGGCTTCATACTAATGAATTGATATGATTATTAACATTGACAGGGTTATGCCCCGAAGAAAAACCGGATCCATTATTCTGGCCCATTAGTTCCTCCTGGTGGAAATATGGATGAAATGCTTAAAGAACACGAAAGACAAATTCAACATGCTGTTCGTAAAGCGCGCTTTGACAAAACCAAGACCAAAAAGGGCCACACTGATAATGGTCAAAGGGAGTCATTATTGCAGTATGGAGGAAATTTTAGATGAAATTTATTTAAATAGAAAAAAAAAATTAGATAAAACAAACGAAATCATTACGTTTCATCAAGAAATGGTACTTCCGGACGGGGTTTTTGTCATGTATAGCTTTAGCCTGGTTTTAAAGATTTAATGTAAAAGGTCGAAAAAGTATTTAGAAAAAACTTTAAAACAAAGACACATGTAATCTTTATATTGGATAGTTGGCGAAACGCCCAAATGAGAACAAGTACAGGCAAGTGTTATCTTTCTTGATGTGGTTGCAAAATCAAGAAACTTTATACATTTCTGACCAAATTTCTTGCAGAAAAGCTTTCTACTTTCAAGTACTTATAGAACCATTTAATTTAATCAACTTTTCTCTAGTGATAATGTCTATAGATGGCAAGCAACATTAAATGGATGTACTCGTAGCAGGACTTGTAAGTTGGCCCAATCTTTGCTTTCCCATACCTCTTCAGGATACAACTACAAAGGTATACACCAACCTTGGGCGTTTCACCCCACTCCCCACTGTAAAAGTACATCTTTACAAAATTTCTCAAACACAACCATTTTGTGAAAATTTCTTTAAAATAACATATTTTACACTAGTTGCACCTCCATATTGATCAAAGGACACAAGTTTACATCATTACATTCTTTTATACAAAGACAAAAATCTACAAGGCACGAGTTGAGTGTTCAGAGCTCACCCATCCTGAAATTGTTTTTGTTTGGGCCTCCTTAACTGTTAAGTTCTTATATGATATGTTTGTTGGATTAGGTGTCTAAGCCCATAACTATAATTGATATATACTTGAATTGATAGCAGCACAGTCCTTTTGGGTTGCCCTCAACCTAGCAACTGGACAAGGAAATTATGAAAGGAGAGATATTAATTTATAAGATTAATAAATTAATATATATATAATTGATTTATTAATATGTTAATGGATTAATATATTAATTAGAAATCATTATGTTTAATTAATTGTTAGCCAGAAATTAATCAGAATTGATTTTGGGGTTAAAAGAATTAATTATAAACTCCCTTGGAAGGGGGTGGACGAAAACCCTAGGGGAAACCCTAGAGAATTCGTCCAAGGGGTCCAAGATAAGGCCTTGGGTCTTGCTTAGGCCCTAAGCAAAGGATAACTAGGGTTTTCCCTAAACCCTAGTTCCCTCAACTATTTAAGGAGCCTCCTGGCTCACATTTTAGTGTACTCATTACACTTGTGGTGCTAAAGCTTCCAAGAAGATCAAGAGGATTATCAATTGTTTGCTATAACAATTGAAAGGTATGTAAACCCTAAACCCTAGTTTGTTAATTTCGAAATTAGCCTCTCTCCTCTAGGGTTCTTATTTTGCAATTCAAAGTTGTATGTTCAATAGTTAAAACATAGATCCAAAGTAGGTTGCATGTGAACTTAGGAATTGTTTTTCTAGTTTATTTGTTGTACCTAAAACCCATCAATGTTGTCCTTACAATTTTAGAACATATTCTGACAGAGAATGTATCAACACCCTTAAAAGAAATGTTTATTTCTTTTTCCCAACCAATGTGGGACCAGGTGCAAATAACTACCTGCGTTCACCCCTTTATAGTGTTCGACTTCCCGGTCAAACACATCGACCCATGTTCTAGCATTTATAACATCTCCCAAAGGCACAAACCATAATATTGTCCTATTTAGGCATCTCGGTACGAAAAATTCCCATGATGTTACCCATCTAAAATTACTCTCGTACGGGCCTCCTTAACTGTAGAGTGCTTATGGGATATACTGCCCTTATGACTTTAAATCACATCATGATAGAGAAGGTATCAACACCCTTTATAAAAAAATGTTTAGTTCTCCTTCCTAGTCGATCGATGATCATATGTAGGTAGCCTCCAACCTTCACCTCGTACCCTTTGAACACATCAACCAATACCTTAGTTTTTATACCATTTGTAATCTCCCCCAAAGGCACACACCACAATATTGTCCACTTTGGGCAATCTAGTGTGAAAACTTCCTAGGGCGTCACCTATCTTGAAATTGCTCTCGTCCGAGTCTCTATAACTATAAAATTATTATAGGATTTGTTGCCCCCATGACTTTAAAAAGCGTTGCAACAGACACCCTTATAAACTTGACATATATTATCACATAAACATGATTAGATAATTGGTAAGTGCTTTGTACACAATACAAAACCATAAATGCCTACATTTTTCATCAATGTATTATACTTACAACTTAAATAAAATAAACCACATTTCTCTCAAGGTCCTTACGAAATTCGCATATTAACTCAACTACTTATCCAAAGGCATTAAGATTTACAAGATGATAAATTCATAAAAGTTTCGGTGTGTATATTGGGTCTTCCCACAAATGTGTTCCACAATTAACAAAATGTCCCAAACTGCACATGTGAACTTGTTTATACATTCTTACATCTTTACGATAGAGGTCAATTAGAGCATCTTTAATGGTTACTCTTTAAAAGATTTATTTTTAAAAAAATAACTATAACTTTTCTACTAACATTTATTTAATATAAATATATTATCACCAACATTTTCTAATAGTTTTAACATTTAAAAAGTTATTATAAAAATAATTAAATAATTTATCCTCATTCATTCTTAAATGTTTAAAAAATTCAATTCATCTAATTTATTGTTTGTATTTTTAAGTTTATTTAATATTTAAATTAACTAATTCATCATCATAATCACTTGTGTTGTGGTGACTTGGTAAGACATGTAGAAGATACAGTGGATAACCTATTGACCTAATGTTTAAATCCTGACATTACTCAGTCTCTCTGGCCTGGAGGTTCGCCTGGAGTGACTCTAGGGCATGAGGCATAGCCTCATGTTCGCAACGGAGGATTAGTCGGTACGCAAAAGCTGGCCCGAAAATCTTCGTTTGGGAAGTTTCCTTTCCAAAAAAGAACTAATTCATCATCATCTGTTATCAAACATTTTCAGCATACAATCTTTATTTTTGTATGTTTAATAAAATCTATTAACTAGTCAAAGAATAACCAATTCTTAATACGTAGATATGATTGGTGTAAAATAAAATGTTATTACATGTAATGAACAAAATGTACAAAGGTAAAAACCTAACAGAAATATGATAGATTTGTTGAAAATGGTTAGGTTGCACTCTTTTCTCTCTCGCACACAAACATATTACATATATATATATATATATATATATATATATATATATATATATATATATATATAATATATATATTATATATATATATATAAGGTGAGAAAGAGTGCCAAAATGTCATTTTTAGCAAATTTAATCGGTTTCTGACATGGTGCAACTGCCTTCACCAAACTCAAAATGATTAGCAACTCAAGATGTCTTTAACTTTGCAACTCAATGACCAAATATTCCACCAAACTTAACAACTACCCTTTTGCTTCATTCAGAATCTTTCTAGATTGCATGTCTTACATCATAGAATTCTTTAATATAATCACTTTAACTCTAAGCATCACCATACCGTCTCTCTCTATAGATATATATATGTATATATACATACTTGAATACAACCCCATAGCTTCATAACAATCCCAGAAAACTTAGTTTTATCTGTTGATAAAAAAATGAGGTCGAGAACACAATACCCAATGAACACCAAGCTTCTTGTCATTGCCATCATTGTCGTCTTCTTTCTTCTCTTTGTATTTCGATCAACCTTTTCATCTTCCAATGATCAAGTTTCATCTCAAATTGCGCAAAAAGTCATTCCAAAAGCAGTTTCAGATTCTTTCAGAAACATTCAAAAGTCGCCAAAATGTTCAGAAACCTGCAACAAAATCCCACCTTCATTAGCTCAAGCCTTGGTACACTACTCAACCTCCACCATCACCCCACAACAAACCAGCAAAGAAATATCGGTAACCAAAAAGATCTTAGACATGAAATCACCTTGCAACTTTCTAGTCTTTGGGCTAGGGCACGATAGCTTAATGTGGAGCTCTTTGAACTTCAATGGCCGAACAGTCTTTCTTGAAGAAGATAAAGCATGGATCGAGCAAATCAAGAAAAGATTTCCCATGTTGGAATCTTACCATGTAACGTATGACAGTAAGGTGAACCAAGCAGATGGCCTTATGAAAGCCGGAAAAGGGTCGGAGTGCACGGCGGTGGGTGAAACCAGGCACTCGGTTTGTCAACTAGCGCTGAAGGGTTTGCCGGAGGATGTTTTATGAGACGACGTGGGACTTGATCATGGTGGATGCGCCGACGGGGTACTATGATGAGGCACCAGGGCGGATGAGTGCTATTTATACGGCGGGGATGATGGCGAGGAACAGGGCAGAGGGAGAGACCGATGTTTTTGTGCATGATGTGAATAGGGTTGTTGAAGATAAGTTTTCTAATGCGTTTTTGTGTGAAGGGTATATGAAGAAACAAGAGGGGAGATTGAGGCACTTCAGGATTCCAAGTCATAGAGATGAACCTAACAAGCCTTTTTGTCCTTGAGATGATTTTGAAATATTGATTATTGATTTCTTTTCAATTGGCTCTTGATTCTTGTTATAAGAATCTTAGATTTTTCTTTTTGAGCATGTAAAATAAATGACAAAAATAACGAGTATTAGAATAAATTTTTACATGAGGAATTTTTGTTCTAATTTAGTGCATGTTGATTCAATAAAGTTTTTCATTAATTGTTTTCGAGCAAAAGTATAACTCATTTATCAATTTTGCTATGTTTTGATCATAATTTAACTAATATAAAATTATTTAAATGAACTTTGGTCATTTATTTTTGAAAAAAAGTAATACAATAAGAAAGAAATTAAAAAAAAAATAATAATTTATAATAATTCAATAAAATGATTTTTTTTTTTTGTAGAAATGATCATTGTAGTTTGGTAAAAATATAAAAGTGTTGAAATGATTCTTGGGATAAAACTATAATTTTCAAAAATTTAACAAACAAACTTTTAAACTTAATGAGATAGGGACCAAAACCACAACAACATCAAATATAGACATTTTTTTGCTAATAAACTTTTTTTAGGAGCTTAGGCCAAAAAAATCGACAAACCATAGATACTATTTCTGCAATTTTATCAAATCTATAAAAGATTTTTTAAAGTAATTTTTATAAAAAAAACTACTATTCATAAATCCAGTTGGGCTGGCCCGTTATCATTTCCAACGAAAACCCAAAACTTTATTGCATAAAGAAGTGCCCACTAGGCCACTACCCCCTTCAACAGTAGGAAACCCTAGTCATATATCTCTCTTTCATTGTGGACTCTTCACTGTGCTCTCGGAAGAAACGCTCGTGTAATTATCAGGTATCATCTTCATTCCACCGTTTAATCTTTTCTTGTTCAACAATTTCTTACCATTTCTCTTTTGCGTGCTCATTCGAAGTCTTTATTTGTTTCTTTTATTCAGATCTGACGTAAAAACGAACGTTTGTTCCTTTCAGCAATGGCTCTGGTGAGTTTTCAATTCTGATTTTGTTACTTTGTCGTCGATATTTTTGCTGAATTTTGTTAGTTGCGCAAGTGTGCATGCATAATAACATTTCAAGGTAGGCAGATTTATAGTTTTACGTTTATATATGCATGAACTGTTGCTGTTCTGTCTGATTATTTCACATTTCGCTTTATCGAATTTATTTGAAATATTCGCGAAATTCTGTTTATGTTTGGAGGCCAACTCGTGATTCGTTGTGCTTGTGTAGTTAATTGCGTTTAGATCCAGTTGTGGTGCTATTTGATCACTTAATTTACAATGTTGATCGACAACTTATTGTGTTTTACTTGTTGTTTTGGTTTTAATTTGTAATCTAAGTGATCAAATGCACAACCATCTGATTTATCGCTCATTTATTTATAATGAATTAATATCAACTTATTGATGACATTTTCAAACTAAAATGTTCTAACTTATGTTCCTGGGAGAATATTTAGGGATATATACCTTGTGTTCTAACATGTAGCTTCACAATCGAGAAAAAATTCATTGAACAATTGCCTAAGCTACCATGATAATAAGTTCATCACATACTGGATATATGTTGATAGTGAAATATTAACCATTAGAAACTTGTATCATGTTGCTTGTTGAATCATAAAGTTGACAAATGAGCCTTCAAACAAAGTGCCAACTTTTGTGTTACTATGGTGTTGTAGTTATGGTTAGTTGCATTCATTTAAGTTTGAGATAATTTGTTTTAACTTATAATTTTCTTGTAGGTCATGCATGCTGCGAAAACCAACAAGAATGCTTTCAAGACATTAATTACTGCAGAATATGTTGGTGTTGAAGTTAAGTGGGCTGAAAAATTCGAAATGGGCGTTTCAAATAAAATTCCTGAGTTTCTTAAGATGAACCCTATTGGAAAGGTACATTTTTAATTCTGATTTCACTTTTCTACAATGTGGGTGCTTTTTTCACTTTCTTTACTCAATATGCATATGATTGTTGCAGGTTCCTGTTCTTGAGACTCCTGATGGGCCTGTATTTGAGAGTAATGCCATTGCTCGCTATGGTAAGTGATCATGATTCATGACCATGTAAATTTATTTTAAAATTTTATATTTCTTTGGTTGTAGTACTTATTCTGTTATATTTTGTCATCACAGTTGCTCGCTTGAAGACTGACACTTCTCTTTTGGGATCTTCACCAATTGAATATGTAAGTTTCATCATTTTTCGATAAAGTTTTTTTTTTTTATTAAACTCATTTACTTAAAGCTTTATTTATTCATTGAATGTTTTTCCAGGGACACATTGAGCAATGGATTGATTTCTCTTCACTTGAAATCGACACAAATGTGTTGAAATGGTTGATGCCAAGATTCGGTTATGCTAACTATGTTGCTCCGGTTTGTTTACACTTTATTAATTACCAATTTACCCTTTTTGGTTATAGTGTCCATGCCCTATCAATAACACTTCTTTTCAACACGAATTAAAGGTAGAGGAGGCTGCAATTGCTGGATTAAAGAGAGCTCTTGGTGCCCTAAACACACATCTTGCCTCACACACATTCTTGGTTGGACACAGCGTGACACTTGCTGACATCATCACAACATGCAACCTATACCTTGGATTCAAAGTCATGATGACCAAAACCTTCTCAGCTGAGTTTCCTCATGTTGAGAGGTATTTCTGGACCATGGTTAATCAACCTAACTTCAGTAAGGTCATTGGTGAGTTGAAACAAACAGAAGCTGTTCCACCTCTTCCTTCTTCAAAAAAGCCAGTTCAGCCTAAAGAAGCTAAACCAAAGGCTGAGCCTAAAAAAGAAGAAAAGAAAGAAGCTCCAAAAGCTGAAACTAATGGTGATGAAGAAGAGGCACCAAAGCCTAAACCAAAGAACCCTCTTGATTTGTTGCCACCAAGTAAAATGGTTTTGGATGACTGGAAAAGGCTTTATTCCAACACCAAGACCAACTTCCGTGAGGTTGCAATTAAAGGTATATCATCATTCATTATTTTTTTATTTTGGAAAAGAAATAGCAACATGCTTTCATTGAGTTGCTTATTATAGCATACTACTTTTGTTTTCTCTTATTTCAACAATATACTTTAAAAAGTCTACAGGTTTATAAAAATGTCATTTAAATACACGTGTTATCATAAAAGATCCTATATTTTTGGGTTTTTTCCAGATTAAACCTAAACATTATTTTTTTTTTAAAAAAAGACCTTGTGTTTTTCTCTTTGTTCCGATTTGACCCTTTTAGCAGGTTTACTGGTATCTTTCGGTTTTAGACAGTTGTTCCAGAAAAATTCTTAAACGTTTTTTTTTTTTCTGAAAAAACCCCTCAGTTTTTACCTTTTTCTGAAGAAAAAAAAAGTCAGCTTTTTATTTTCTAAAAAATGTCAAATGTGAGGTTTTTTTTTGAAAAAAAAAGTAAAATTCTGAGGTATTTTCGGAAACAGTTGTCTAAAATTGGAAGATTACTGTAAGCATGCTAAAAGGGCCAAACTGAAAAAAAGGGAAAAAGGAAGGTCTTTTTTAGGAAAAATAAAAAGTTGAGGTTAAATCTGAAAAACCCAAATTATAGGGTCTTTTATGATAACTCTAAATTCAAAGCAATTTTCAATTTTCATTGCTATGAATGGATGGAAATCTTTTAAAACACAATGTTGCAATAGAAACAAACAGAAGGAGGATGCTATAATACACAAATAAATTAAAGTATATTGGTATTTTCAATTTGGCAAGTTACTTGTAAGCTACATTCCCAACTATTTTTGTTTCTATTTTGTGCTATATATTACATTAAAAAAATCCACCAATGTATATCAATGTTTTAACAAGAAAAATCCGAAAGTATGATGCTATAATTTCTTGATATGGAAAAATAGAGTTAGGAATTTTAAAGTGAATTTAACTTTTGTATATGTTTTTTTTTTAAGGTTTCTGGGAAATGTTTGATCCAGAGGGCTACTCTCTATGGTTCTGTGATTACAAATACAATGATGAAAACATGGTGTCATTTGTGACAATGAACAAAGTTGGTGGATTCCTTCAAAGAATGGATTTAGCAAGAAAGTATGCTTTTGGGAAGATGCTGATTATTGGAAACGAGCCTCCATTCAAGGTGAAGGGTTTATGGCTTTTCCGTGGGCCCGAGATCCCAAAGTTTGTAATGGACGAGTGTTATGACATGGAGCTTTATGAGTGGACAAAGGTGGATTTGTCTGATGAAGCACAAAAGGAGCGTGTGAATCAAATGATTGAAGATTTTGAGCCTTTTGAAGGGGAAACTCTTTTGGATGCTAAGTGCTTTAAGTGAGAAAAGAAGAGATGTTTTTTTGTGGGTAGTATGTTTGTTTGAAAGTGTTTGTTTTTTGTCGGTTAAAATGGTGTTAATTTTAAGTCAGTTTTGATCTCAATGTAATACCCAAGACCAAGACCGGATGGTTGTTAATCATGAGTTTGTTTATGGAGTGTGTTCTCTTTAAATTAATCATATTGTGTGTCAATGGTTCAAATAATTAAGAATTTACTTTGGTAAGATGATGCATTCTACTGAATACTACTATACTTGTGACAGCTACAAGTGTTGAGGTCTTGAGGGGACTGAAGGCGTTAATTGGAACGTCCTCAACTCATTATAGAAGCTCCAAAACACCCATAGTTATCCGCATCCAAGTATTTACTTTGATTCTGTCGTAACCCCACTTGATCATCCCAGCTTGACTATTCTTCGGTTGTAATGAAAGAGAGTATCAATCTCCGCTATTATCTATAGTCACTCCTGTTGGCCTTCTATCTAAGCAAAATCTTCAATCCATGATATTTAACTTGATTGCGACCAATATATTCCATCTTGCATAATTTAATCTTGGGATAATCCATCAAAGACACTTTTAATAAAGACAAAAAAAAGTCACGTTATTAGAGATATAGAAAACCCCAATTTGTAAGACAGACCCACATATGATGAAATATAAGTAAATGTATTTATACATCCGCAAAAGTAGACAAAGTTGAAAAAAATATAGAATCTACAATAGCAACAGTTTGTGAAGATAACTGTCATGCAACTCGAACTGTCTGGACAAGCTAATTACATAGGCGGAGGCAACGTGGGTTGTAATGTAGCATGAGTTGTCCCAAAGCAGACTCAAAACTACCTTGTTTCTTTTTATATTCTTTCGTTCTAATCATGTTTTCTATTACATTGCATCATCCCATGTCCAAAGTTATATAAGTGGTTTGGGGTGTTGCTGTAAACCCCGCCCATTGACCCCAATATTTTGTTGTGTACGAGATCAAACTCGCCTTATATACAAATATACATTTCACACCACCTAACTTACTAGATCATAGTTTAAATCTCCATTTACACTCATACTATTTTCAATTACATCATATGGTCCGTGACATTAAAATGGCCAACATTTTCTAGTCGGTTCAAGTGTAAATGTACATTTATTCTCTAACTCCCATTACCATCTATCTTACATGTTTCGAAATTTTATATCTCCACACTAAACATCATTTGAAAAACATGACATGTGACTATTATCAAATCAATGAATCCAAACCAATACCTTTTTAGTGAAGTAGATTGGAAACCAAATGTTGTTATTCGAAGCGCCTTTAAACTTGATATGATTCACATCGTCTCTAAACCACCATTTAAACCATGAATCACTTATATGATAAACATTCATAAAGAGTTTGGTTTTGACATGAATCCCCACCTCCGTTTGTAGCATAAAACCCAACTTAAAGCAAATAAGCTTCCAATTCCTAAACCATCATTCTTTTCACCCTTAGAGGGTGTTTGGCTTAGCTTTTGAGGGGCAAAAGTCCTTTTTGTAAAATGACTTTTTATAAAAGTTGTTTTTTAAAATGTGTTTGGATTAGCTTTTGAGTGGAAAAAGTCAAAAGTTATTTTTAAAAAATGTTTAGTTTAACTTTTACATGTAAAATGACTAAAAATGACATACTTAAATATTTACATTGATTAGGGTAGTTGGGGGGTATAAAAGTAATTTAAGGTTTAAGTGGTTGAAAAGTTACAAAAGTCATGTTTAGGTGACTTTTCAAAAGACTCAATTTCCTTCTATTTAAAAAGTTGTCTTTTTCATTTTACCAAACATCTTTTATCTTTTTTTTAGCTTTTAGGAAAAGATAAAAGTGAAAAGTCACTTTAAAATATAAAACAAAGGGAAATTGTCAGAAAAATCCTAATATTTTCAGGAAAGTTACACTTTAGTCCCAAGATTTTTTTTTTGAACGTAAAAGTCTCAATTATTTTTAAAAACACGATAATATGTCATTTCCTGTTAAAAGAAAAAAAAAAGGACTTTTTTGTAAACTTGAGCAAAAATGAAATAATCGGGACTTTTTTGTTTAAAAAAAAATCTTAGGACTAAAGTGTAACTTTCCTGAAAATATTAGGAATTTTCTGACAATTTCCCATAAAACAAACACCCTCTTAAGTAAGACAGAATCACAACCCACCCAGTGGCGGAGGTTATATAGGGCCAGGGGGGGTTGTGCCCCCCTATTTTTTTTTATAATTAGTCCTTATACATTAAAAAAGTTACATATTATGCCTAAAACTATAAAATTTGACTTTGGCCCCCCTGTTATTCAATTTTTATATATATTCTATTTTCGGCCCCCCCAAATCAAAACTTCAAGCTCCGCCACTGAACCCACCTACAATTTCAGTGGCTATTTAAGTGTTCTCTTTATCCCCTCAATGATAGTGTAGTGGCCGAGAAGTGAAATTTCACAAAGGGTTTAAACCATGAATCCAAATATTATTAGTGTTCTGCGATTGATATCGTTTGTATGTGCGAGTCTTGAGTCTTGAAATGGGTTGGCATAGATGGTACGGTTAACATTTTTTTTTTTTCACTTTTTTTATTATATCTTTACAAATGATAAATTAAACTAAATTATTATAATTATATATCCAATTCAGGATTTTGTGGGGGACATTGGACAAATTTAACGTCGGTTTTAGCCGTCGCTATTTCTTATATTGCGAGTCGGTTCAATGCGGGTGCAAAGCCCTCGATACTCGATAGAGCTGCATGATTCGATTGGGTCTTGTTTGAAATGAAGAGCGCCACATCCACATAAACGAAAAAGAAAGAACGCGTAGGTAGGGTTGACGAGTGGTTTCATAATCTTGGAAAACACCCAGAAAAGCCAGAGATGACTGAGATCTCACGCCGGATTTTCTTGCACTTCCTGTTGATATTCTTTTCAATTTTCCTTCAATTCCTCCCTGGTGCGTTTCTCTCATTTTTTTTTTTGTTAATTGTTTGTTTTACGTAAAGATTACGTATCCGAATGTTGGTGAATTGGCGAATTGTGTCTTTTGATTATAACTATGGAGGGTTTTGTGGCTCTGAAGATATATCTGGATGATTATTTAGCGTTAATGTATGTTTTTTCTTCAAAAATGTGTTTTAGGGTTATTACATGTTAGCTTGAGTTATGTTTGATATGATCATGGTTCATGGGTTCTACCCCCACTCTATTATCTCTCATGGATCATTACGTATGATGTTTTTTATTCAATGTGAGGGATAATTTATTTGCTTTGAAGGAAAAAGGGAAAGCAACGAACAAGCTAATCAAAGCTTAATTGCATTTAGTTAAAAGCAATTCAAGCTATTGCACAATGCACATGATGACCATGTTCTGTGATTGGTGTTAAGATTGTGCTGAATATGAGCTAATAAGAGATTTGAACATAGAGTGCTAATTTCTATAAAGAAGAAGATGAAATGGGATTTAAGTTGACTCATCTGTCAAAACTAATTAAGGAATATGTTTCTTGTCCCCTTTGTGATGTAGTCCTGTGTGTTAGAATTGAATCAGTGATTTAGTTATTGATTCATGGAGGCATAAAGAGAAAAGAGGTGCCACGGCTATAATAGATGTACCTTCTTACGAAGCATTGTTACCTAATTTTGTAAAATTATTTTTTCTCATCCCAATAATTCTAATAACTTTGTTATACGTTTGATGATTTCAGGCTTCTCAGATGATTCAGATTCCCAAAAAGATACGAAAGATAATGATGCTGATGCATCTTCACGTAAAAAGAATGGATCTACAATATTCATAATATGCATGGTTCTTGCAGGAGTTGTTACTTTATCATTTTTCCTTTTCAAGCTATGGCAAAAGAAGAAACGTGAAGAACAATATGCTCGTCTCTTAAGGCTCTTTGAAGAAGATGATGAACTTGAGCTCGAACTTGGTCTTCGTGACTGATATGGAGGTATGTATGCCTCTTTCTTGTTGTTTTTCCAAATTTACCCTTATTTTCAGTTGTTTTTTCATTGGTAGTGTAAGGGTAATTACGGGTATTTCATAACTACAACTTATCTCACACAGATGTAAATGGAGGAGGGGACTTTTCAAGTACCCATAACAGGAAATGGAGCAATTTTACACATTATTATGAGAAAGCATTAAATCTTTTCATTAGGTTTTGTATCATGTATATTCATATAACCTAAGATATACTAGTTTTCCCCCTTTTTTTCTCTTTCTTGTTTGTATATTGATTGCTGAAAGAACAATGTTTTTTTGTATGAAATGTTGCAACTTAACTGGATTTCTACCAATGGAATAGGAAAAAGGAATTGGACATTTGATTGGAAAAAGACACATCGAGGGTAAAATGGTCATTTTACAATGACTTTACACTACATTCTACAACAAATATAAAACTTCGCAATTGTTAAATGTCAAACTCCAAAAAATATGCAATCTAATGTTGTTATTAAATTAATAGTTGATGCAAGCATACAAAATATTATACAAAGTTTTTCTCCTCTCAATAGATCCCTTGGTTATAATCAAAACCTAGACTATAGCAATACACTTGATGCTTATTTCATAAATCAAACATGGGAATAATAAAATTACAAAAATAAAAAATTAACTAAAAAAACATCAAAACCAACCACACACACACACAGTCTTTTTAAACCCTAAGTTAGAAAAGCAAATTGGTGACATTTGCCCAAACCAATCACCACCTTCTTCTCTTGATCATTCAAAGATTTTTGGTTATGTCTTGTTTGTGAAACCCGTTTGCGGTTCACATAGTTGATGCAAGTGACACGTCAGCATCTCAAAATAGAATTTGAACCACTGAGATTATGCCACCTGTCATCTTCCTGTTTTGGCGCGTTTCATGCCATTGCTATTAAACGGAGACATGCTTGGGCTCATACTAGGACTCATGCTAGGGCTTTCCTCTCTTAGAGTACCATTTAGCATAGCCAATTCTCTTAGTTGATGCTTCTTGTAAGTGTCCATAGACTCATCCTAGTGATTTATAAAAATAAATCAAAAATATAGATGTTGTACATATAAGAACAACTTAATAGAGAAAAAAAAGGGTTTTTCTTACCACTGGCTTTAGGAGGTTTTCTAGTAGTGTAACTGCATGATCCAAACGTGAGTCAATTATATCTTCAGGAAATTCAGCTTCAAGCAACAGGTGAAGAGGATCATTCAGGTGTTCGTACCCTGGTTTATCTTTTAACTTCTCTTCCTGATTTCATTAAATAAAAAAAAAAAGTTGCTTTAAAAAATCGTATAAGCAAATATGTAACAATAACTTGAGGGATATGAAATAAGTTGAAATAAATAATACCTTAACAGAATCCTTAACGGAGCCTCGCCCTCTAATATATATTCTACACTCTGTCATGGCTTCTATCCTTTTTAGAGAATTTCCACGTGGGCCCAGAATTCGGCCCACAAAGTTATACTGCCATGTCATGATTCCATCACATGTTAGAATAAATTTGTAAATAAAAGAAGTTCAAATTATGATATATTTTTTTTACTTACATTTGGGAATTTTTCAACGGGAACATCGAGTCTGATAACTTTTTTTATAACTGTGGGGGTAGCCATTCCTGGTGATGCGGGCCACCCCATTGCAGAAGCTTGAAATGATGCCATTCTTTGGAGGAGACGATTATCCTGAAAATCAATAAATAGCAACGTACTTTTATTTTAATATTTTAATAAATAACTTTCTTTATAGGACATTGTACTTTGAAAAATCTACTCAATTATAGCAGTGAAAATTGATCTGTATTTGTATCAACTGCTTTTGAAAGGTTTTGGGGTTCAGGGATTATTTGTAAAACCTTTAAAAACTCAATAAAAGAAAAGAAAAAGAATGTGATGATACATCTGGTTGCATTGTGGGCCATGCCTCTACATCCATTGGACCCCTTTGAGGTTTTTGATTAAATGACCGATATGACCTGTCACGCAACATTCTCTCATGATCCACAAAATTATGATTCGACACCATTCCTGATGTTTTCATGATCTCTGCATAAACAACACAAACAAAAAAAAAGCAAATTAATATGTCAGAAACACGCACTACAACAACATAACATATAATATAACATAATTAGAGCTAGATCTTGTTTCTTTTTGACTTAATGGACTTAATGGAAAAAGAAGTTAGGGGTTGTTTCCTTTTTACTTAATGAGCTTAATGGGTTAAGCACCTAATTTGGACAGATAATCGTATGACTTTCTTTTTTACTTCACCTACACAGAATAACTTAATGGGTTAAACCAAAAAAAAAACTCGGCTTAATGTATTTAGACACTAACATTTTTCCTATTTACCCTTCTTTTTTCTACCAACTCTTCTCACATTAAAATTGATGAATATCGTGATTTTTTTTTTGGAATGTGAGGATAAAATGGTGATTTAAATAGTCTCATTCATGTGGTTTATTCGGTCTATAAAAAGAAGCAGACTTTATGCATACAAGACTTTATCAAGACAGACATCAATACCAATTCAACTATTTTACCTATACAGGACTTAATGGGAAATAAAAATCCCTTAATCAGGTAAGCTATATGCCTATATAAGTATATCCTTTTGACTTAATACAAAGAGAACACTTTATCAGGACAGTTTAAATGGAAAAGAAAAAAAAAAACTATCAAATGACTACAGTCTTCACCATTAACCATTAGCAAATTCAAAATTTATATTAAAAGAGTGAAAATGAATAAAAGAACCTTGATTTAAAAGCCTGCTGCATATCGGCATGACTTGCATAAATGGTGCCAACTTCTGCCTTTCTGCAAGTAATTCTGCCAAATATCTGTGTTGACAAAATCCCAAATAGTCAAATGCAAATAAAAATCAAAATGGAGACCATAAAATAAATATAGATAAGGTTTTATGCAGTTACTTCATTTTCTATTCCAACTGACCAATATAGAAATTATACAACAATAAGAAGTCAAGAACTGGTGAGGGTGAAAGCCATGAGATAAAAAGGCAAAAAGTGGAGCTCATAAATCATAATACATGCTTAACAGAAATGGAAGTTGATGTTGACGCTTGACAAATGTCACTCAATCTACAAACACTGGCATCACAAGACTTCAACATCAGAATGATCATGTTCATGATCTGCCAATTCTGTTCTTAATTTCAAGATTCTGAAAGCCAAGGATCCAAGCTCAATAAAATTGACAAAAAAAGCCACTTCTCCAAACAACAAATCCATACTTGTAAAAAAACTCACATGAACACCAAAACATGCAAACAAGCTCAACCCCATATGCGAATTAACAGGTCAAATACCGATAAGTGTAGCATATGATTACAAAAATAACCCAAAAAGGAAAAAATAGATCCCCAAATAGTAGAATATCGGATACTAATACTAAGAACAGCAACAATCCCACAAAACAACAGAAACCCAAGATCCAAAAGTTATCAACATAGATAATCACATACAGAGAGTTGAAAGCTCAAAAGTTTCTAACCTTTCACGATCTGAGGGAGACGAAGACCTCTGAAGTGAAGTATGAACTCCAGTAGGAGAGTACTGGAAGTAACTTCCTGGTGGTATTCTATTCTCCATTAATGGTTAATCTTCTGTACTATGAAGCTTTCGGCAGTCAGCTCTGTTACGCAAAAAAGAAACCCAGAAGCATGAGAGGTGTCTCTGCACACAACACATGTATAAACAGATACAACACAGATAGAAAAAACTTACTGGGCAAACTTGATTTGAGGTGCGCGACGTTTAGGGTTTGTGAATTAGGTAAATGGGAATCGAAATGGTAATGGTAATGGAAAGACAGATTTCTTCAACTCTTTTCCCCCTAATTGGACCCCTCTTGAGAGGGAGAGGAGGAAAATGACAAGAGGGGTTGGAGGGTAAGAGAGAAAACTCACTGTACAGAATTGAAAGAGGTCCCTTATGGCGGATTCGATTCTTTGATTTGTTGTATTGTATTGTATATACCAATACGTATATGTATTTGTGTGTATTTGATTTGTTGTATTGTATTGTAAACAGTGACGATGAGGGAGAGAAGATCATCGCATAGGATACGAATCATTAGATTTGGTACTTTCATTTTGTGTTTTTTTAATCAGATTCTATGGGCTAAATGAGGTTAAATGAACCTGTAATTTTCTGATTATAATCCTTTATTTTAATTATTATTTTATAGTTTTTGTAATAGAATATAAATTTTGTCCAAATTTGTATATAATAATATCAATAACTACTATTTATATCCATTTTAACCGGAACTTATAGATATTTTATTAGGTACGATTGCCGTGAAAAATCCAATTAGTGTCGATTAATCTTCGATTCCCTCTAAGCGATATACAAGAGAGAATTACTAATGTAGTTATTTTCCCTAATTAACTATTTAAAAATAGCCAAAAATTAGTAATTGTCCAAAAATAACCCATGAAACCGTAGATAATTAGAACGGGCTACTGTTTCGGATTAACTATTATTTTTTTTTCCATTTCGAAAATCTAAAATTGTAGGTTATAAATAACCTACGGTTTCCTCTTGACGAACTACGGGTTCCCAAACCATAGTCTACGGTTCTGGGTAAAAAGTCTACAGTTTTTTTTTTTAAATAAATGGAGAGTAGTTTTACAAAAAATATTTTTTAACAAAATAATTGTCAAAAAAACTACTCTACATTTATTTAAAAAAAAAATTAAACCGTAGACTTTTTACCCAAAACCGTAGACTACGGTTTGGGAAACGGTAGTTCGTCGAGAAGAAACCGTAGGTTATAAAATAACCTACGATTTTAGATTTCCGAAATGAAAAAAAGATTATAGTTAACGCGAAACAGTAGACAATTTTGTGAAACAATAGCCATTGCCCCTAAAACCTTAGATTCACCCCTTTGACCGTAGTCAATTCTGGCCGAACTACTCTTTCGTGGGTTATTTTTGGCTAATGTATTTTTTTTACTATTTTTGGATAGATAATTAGGGAAAATGGCTAATTTAGTCATTTACTCGATATACAATTGATTAGGTAGTGCCTAACAATTAATCATTGCTTAGACACTTAGTGAAGTTATCGAACCCAATAAATTTTCAAACACTTTGAATAATCTCTATTTTAATAAAAATTATTTGAGTAATGTTACTCATGTGGTAGTTATATTAACTTATTTTGTTATAATATTAGTTGTATCCCTTTGTTAAGATTTAATCATCTAAAAAAATTAACTAATTACAATTTAGGGTCCCGATAATTCGTAATATCTAGTCATCAGTTCACCAATTTAGTACCGCCTAAGGATTTTTATAACTTTTATGTTTAACAGAATACTTTAGACAAATTGAATAAAATATTATATTTTTCAAAAAGAAAATCATAAAAGTAATATCAACACATTAATTATTATATATATATATATATATATATATATATATATATATTAAAGTTATGAAAAGTTTTAACAGTAAACCTGAGACATTTTGGCCAATTTTGGTCCCTTAAATTACATTTCCGGTCCCTCTATTTTTGTTTCTGTGTCACTTTAACTAGGTTACTGTTCATCGGGCTTGCTCCTCGACCATGGTAAGAAATATCCGTCGTTCAGTTTCTTTGTTCTTATCCAATCTTTTCTTCTCCCATCAAAATCGTCTAGAAGCCCTAAAACCACCCTACCCCACCGATCGATTTTGCTAACGTTCATCGCCACCGCCATCCAATCCACCGCCTCCACTCTCTCCATACCTTTACTCCTGTTGCTATAAGGTGGTGGGATAAAACCGACGCTTATTCTTCCATTTCCGCTCTGGTAGTCGGCTTCCCCCTTCACCGTCCACCGCCTTTCTCCATCTTTTATCTTATGGTTCCATCTTCCGGCTTTCTGGATAGGCCAAACGATTCCATCGATGGTTTTGCTATCCTAAGACTACTCTAAATCCCTATTAGTTCATGTACACCTCAATTTCTTCAATTTCATGAAGGTTAGTTTTGGATTTTTTTATTATTCTCTTCTTTTATCCATGTCTTCTTTCCTGTTTTCTGTAAATTTTGGGGAATTTAAAGGAAAAAAAAATCGTTACCTGTGTTGTATCATAAACATTTGGGGATGTCAATCGAAGTTTCGTTTACCCCGTGGTCAGTGATTTCTTAATTCTTCTGAAACTTCGCCTCTATTACTAACGCAGTTTCATGGCTTTTTGAAAAAAAATCCATTTCCAACCTCACAGAGAGGTTCTGTTGTGAGGTTCTGGGTACTGGACGAAAAGTTGTTGAAGGAAATCCTAAAGTTTTTTGATATTATTTACTTTCAATCTTCCGCCTTCTCTCTTAATCAATTTTAATGTTTCGAATTTTACACATTAGAGACAGGGGAAGTAAGAGAGCATCATGAGGAAGGAGGTAGCAAGAAGAGCTGGAATTCAAACTCTCGGGACCTCCAAAGCATTAGTTTAACAGGATGAACAGAGCATCTTGGCCATTTTGCTGTGAAAATCATGTAAAAAGGTAAAGTCACCCTTTGCAATTTTGTTGTAGAATACATTTACACCGTATGGAACATAGTTTTACAGATCTGAAGTGCAATGTGGCAGGCAACAATTGAAGAAAACTCAGAAGTCGGCTTCATATTCTGTCTTTTGCATTAAAAAAAGTAACATCAAACCTTTTTTTTATGCGGGAGAAGAATATCACATGGCCGGATATCTTTGAGGAGATACATGTATGTTCTTTTTACAACATTACTGTATATATGTCGCACTTCAATATTAAATGTTGTTTGTTAGAATACTATGAAACCGATATGTTTCACATTTTAACATATCAAGGTATTTACGTTTTCTACAATTTTCTATTTCCACTTGGTCTTATTCTTTAAACTTTAGGCTAATTATTATAGTTTTGCAGGACCGTGTGCGTGCAGAAACTTAGAAGACAACCATTTTACAACATCAGAGTTATATACAAGGCATAGTAAGAAAATATTTTCAACCATATGTGTATCGGTTTATGCCTTATGATTTAGTCTAAATTTGATTTTTTTTTTTTTTCATTTTTGGTCATATAAAATGGTAAAAGTATAATAAATTACTAACGATATGAAATATTTTTACAGGTTTTAGAAAATGTTAAATAACACTAAAATTTTGTATTTTACTATATGGTCAAATTTCGATTTCCTTTTACTTAAAATTGATTCACAAATGTTTTTAGGAAGAAAAGACGTTGAATTCGGTGGTAGTTTTCACAAAGGTATTTGAACATTTAACCAAGAGTGGCGAATGTGAAATGACAACTCTGTCCCTGTTGGAAACTTTAAGGTTGAGCCGCCTGAGTTGTTCTAAGGTCGTGGGGAGCATTTGAAGGTTAAACGACAAGTATGTCCCCGTTATGAAAGTTTGTATTGTAAACTATTAAATCATGATTTTTATCTTTGTTGTTTAGATAGGAATGCTGAAAAGTCGTATCCGCCCATGTGATATCGCAATAAATATTGGCAATGCTTGCATGATTGGGGACAATCCTTCGGATGATGTCAGGGCCGCAAGATAGATTTGTTTTATTACTTTTTAATATTTATTAAATTGAATTCTAATTTTATATAAACATTCGTTTTCCCTTTTTATTTATATATTGCAGGCAAGACATCCATGTTTTTCAATTTTGACAAGGATAGGTGTTTTTAGAGGAAGAGAGAACCGCTCAGATTATCCTGTTTATCGGGTGAGTTGGAGTTGAAATGATTTATGATCCTTTTTTTTTCAAAATTTATTTGAATTTTGATGTTGAAAAGTACTTATTGATGCATAATACATTTTGGATGTGTGTATGTCTGATCCACTTTGTATGTGTGTGTCATATGATATGAATGTGTATGCTCAGATTTTATCATGGGTTTTTGCTTTCTAATGTTTTCATGTAATTACTGTGCAGGTCAGGTAGCAGAGTTTATGTTGTCCGGATTAAACGCAATGAGGTAATATTTTCCAACTTTTTTGTGGCCCTTAATGCCTTAATATACATCATTTCGTTATCTAATAGTTGCGGCATTAATTTATAATGGTATGGTCAGCTTATATATGCAGGAATCCAGCACAATCCGGCTTCCGAGTTATACCCGATTATAAAGCCTTGGCCATTTCGAGGGTGGGCAAGGAGCTACGTTTCTTTTTTTTCTTTTTTTATTTATCTAGCGTAAGTAGAACTAACATAAGTGCAATCTTCCGAGAAGAGAAGAATGTTACCGATCTAAATATTATGCTCCTAAGCTTTTGAAGGTAAGAAAATTTGTTATAATTCTAATAATGTGAATCTGGTCATTAAATCTCCGTATAGGGAGATTGTTGTGCTAATGTACATTCTTTTTTTTATTCTTATTTTTATAGCATACTGCAACACTTTGATATCTTTTCTTATTAACACATTGTCATGTGGAAATTCTATCCAATTATTGGATTGTATTTTCTTATTATAACATTTACACGTTTGTAAATGGACAAATCTCCTACAATGGCAACGTACTTTATTGTGGCTAACAACTTAGGCAATGTACTTTACTTTGACGCAAAAGCAACACCTTCCGCCCTCCGCAACGCGGGGGGGGGGGGAACTTTCTAGTTATATATTAGAAACCAAATGTCAATGAGTATTTCCACCGACAATTGGCATCCCTCTACCTTGTAAATGACACTTTCTATCTTTTACTTTTTAAAATATTGTGTAAAATGATATCTATTCTTCTACTTTTTAAAATATCATTTTGATTTGATCTACTTTAAACTTTGTAAAATGTCATTTTCATCCTATTTATTTTCTAAACTTTCATATTTATCCCCCGCAATATATGATAATCTTCACCCCTCTACTTTGTAAAATGTCAATTTCACCTCCTCAACTTTGAACTTTCTAAAATCTCATTTTTACCTCTTTTCTTTCCAAACTTTTGTGTTTATCTCTCGTAATATATATATATATATATATATATATATATATATATATATATATATATATATATATATATATATATATATATATATATATATATATATAGAGAGAGAGAGAGAGAGAGAGAGAGAGATAGGTTCAGGTATTCTAACTAAGTATTGTATTATTGTATGCATGATTGTGGACTAATAAAAAATTAATAGAAAAAACAATAATTAAATAAATCAATAAGGGTAACTAGGTAATTTGAGAAATAACTTCCACAAATACTCTCTATAATTTTGCTAGTTACGTTGATTTTAACCTAATTCCCCCCTTTTATATACGGCCTACGACTGATCTGATCAATCTTCATCACCGGTGTAGGATCAATCTTCATCACCGGTTGAAGACTCCTTCACGCCGACCATCCAATCGGCTACTGACCTAATTTCCCGGCGACGATGAAAAAGATACTGAAGAACCCCACTCCCGCCGTTGAAGATGCCATCACCAAATCCAAAAAGAGAACACGAAAGGTCTCCCAATCGAAACCGCAACCAGCGTTTACCATCGGCGACATAGAAGATTTTCAATTTAAGGAAGACGAAGTTAAAGAAATTAGGGCATCCTTGTTGAAATGGTACGATGTTAACTGGAGAGACCTTCAATGGCGGAGGATCAACGATTCCGATGATAAGGACAAAGATAGAAAAGCATACGTTGTGTGGGTTTCGGAAATCATGCTTCAACAAATAAGAGTTCAAACTGTTGTAACCTACTTCAATCGGTGGATGGAGAAATGGCCGACTGTTCATCACCTAGCTCAAGCTTCCATCTCAGAGGTAATTTTAGTTTTAGAATTTCAAATTTTCTGTTTTTTTTAAAACTGAATGCTTTTATTTTTACTTTTTGCAATTGCCCTCAACCCTATACTCACTGATATAAAGGAATAAGTTTTCATCAAATCTTTATCTCATTATTTGAATCCAGTCACACTCTTTTAGAATTTAAGAACTCAACTTCTCAGTTCCCTCATCTATGTAACTCAGTTTCTGTTTGATAATTGATACAATTGATAGTTTGTTTGATTGGTTGATAATGATACACCATCGATGATATTAATTATTTTCCCATGTCTTGGCTTCAAACTTCCATATAAGCATGAATAATTTTAGGGGTTTTAAACTTGGTTTGAATCCGAATTGGATTGAAAGATTTGTTTAGTGGGCAGTAGGCGAGTTGGCTTTCAATTAGAACTGATAAAAAAGGGTTTCAATTAATATATTAGACTTAGACTTTTAATTTTGAGTTGTTTGACTATATTTCATTTTTAGTTATGTTTGAATTAGAATTGTACAAGTCTAGAACGATTAGTAAAATGCATAGATGCTTTGATGCTTCTTTCATTTTGAATTAATTTGTTTATGTAGATGATTCAATGGATGATATTGGTGAGATTCCAATTCTATTGGAATGGAATTACGAATTCTAATTCTGTTGGAATGGAATCATGAATTCTAATTCTGTTGGAATGGAGTATGGATATTTTCTCACTGATTTATGCATGTTCTACAATTATTGTTTATTGCTTTTGGTGCAATTCACAAGTCCACATCTTTTTCCAAAGGAAATTAGTTTTTAATTTTCATTTGCTAATGCATTATTGGAATCTAAACTACAATTTTGTTTTGTTTTCACAGAAGTTGATGCTTGAAGAACGGACCACAAAATTGAAAGTGGTTCTAAGCAACATTATTCCTTTAGAATGTATTAGTGTCGTTGTTAGATTTTGATGTTTCTTTCCCGTTTTGAAAGTTTTTGTAGTTTTATTCTTTAACAATAAATGTAATTCTTAACAATTGTTACCCGTATTCTATAAGAAATAATGTATTTTTTGTTTTTATTCGTTAATTGATTGTTCAAGAATTTGTTATTATACAAGAAGTTTTTAAAGTCATGATCAAGAAATAGGTTCAAGAATATTTTTATTATTTATGGTTCAAGAATATTTTTATTTTTGAATATACTCATAAACATATTCTGTCAGAATGTCCGAATTAAAAGAATTATAATTCGTAAAATCTGATTTTTAAAATTAACAGAATCTATGAACATTGCTCTGATACCAATCTGTCACACCCCCAAACCAGACGGCGGAAACGTCTGGGGGTAGAGGACTTCATTTGTAGTATCACAACACATGTAATATAGTAATCAAAGTACAAACAACCATTGTATTAAAAAGTATAAATATTTACACGTGTTTCACATTGTATACTGAAACTATAAAGTTGTACAAAAAAAAAAGACAAGACATAAATAGCTCCATCTTCTCAAAAGCTCGGGGTGTACCTGTCTACTGGTTCCCTGAGAATACAAGTAATTTGAAAAGAGAGTATCAACATAAAGTTGAGTGAGTGCATAAGTATTTATCTATGTAAGAATATCTTCTGTTTCTTGAATATGTAAACTGTTTCCAGAAAATCCTATATTTTCTGTTGTATATGAAAAGTAGTTGTATTTGTATAAAACTGTTCTATTTGTAAACCAATTATCTGTATTTGTATTCTTTATGTAAACTTGTATCTTGTTAACTGTATCTTGTAAAGTGTATCTTGTAAACTGGTACTTTGAAAATGTACTTAAGTTTAGTTAATTATACACTAACGTATTGTTAATATCTTTTAAATTAGTTATTATAACCATACTAACTAGATGACCTGATCCAACGCTATGAATGAGCTGAAAGTTGATGATAACAATTGTCACTCACAGGCGTGTATGCCTGACTGTAGCTAGCAGTCCGAGTGCGGGATTGTCAATCCCAATATAGATCTATACACCCATTGTTTCGATCCCCTGTTGGAGACTCTGGTTATAATATCAGGACTTTACTATATTGTTTAAAATGAATTAAACAAACTGTACTACTTGTCTCATAAAAGCATATAAACGTTACATGTATATTAGTTATGAAAACCCAATCATTCTAAAGTAATTGATTGATAGTATGCTCTTTAATTAGTACTCTTAACATGTATCTGAAAGAATGTATATTCTTGAATAGTTTTGAATCAATCTTTGTTCTTGTAAAACAATGTACTCTAGTATGCTTGAATCATGAATTATTGTTCTCTGAATCATAAATTATACCTATTATAATTTATATGTACTTTCTGTATTGATACTTAGTATTAATGAATACAACCCCTTGCTCAACTTGTTACAAAAGGGTAATTGAAACTAAATGAATAAACTTTTATACTTGTATACATATACAATATATATATATATATATATATATATATATAAGTAAAATTTAAATGACACTCGGACAAATAACTAATACTTGTAATCCCACATCCAAACAAGGAAAAGGAACCAAAGTGGGTTATCAGTCTTAAATCTTTTAAATCTTATTTATATAAATATATGTATACTAGTATGATTTTTGGGGAAAATATAAGTTTATAAAATATTTAAAAGAAGTTTCATATTTTGAAATCCATTTTGGTGACTTGACGTCTTTTTGAAACAATCACTTAAAACCACTTCATTTGATGATACTGAAATTCATTTTGATAAGATGTTTGAAACCATTTGTTTTGATAACTGTAATCCATTTGAAATCATTTGTTATAACACAAAATCTTTGTGATGGACTTGTATTCCCCCCCCCCTCCCTTAAAACAGTAAAAACTATGAAAATATGGGGGTGTGAACTCACCTGTAGTGAGTGATACGGAAGTATATTTGGAAATAGGATGTAGAGTGTCAGGTGAAACCTTGAGCACACAAAGATCCTAATAAACATATAATGACATGTATGTGTATTTGATTAGTGTATAAACAACTAATTATAAGGGATAACACCCTAATAGACTAGGAAACTCTTAGATTGAAGGAATACAATCACATATGATTGCATAACTAGGGTATATGGCCACCCTATAGAGTTTACGGTCCAAATGACATGACCAAGTGAGTTTATGGTCCAAGTGGTTTACGGTCCAAGTGGTTCACGGTCCAAGTGTTCACGGTCCTAGGTGTTTACGGTCTTAGTGTTTACGGTCCAATGACCTTACGGTCATGGAGTTCACGGTCTAATGACCTTACGGTCATGGAGTTCACGGTCTAAGGAGATTCAACCGTAAACTCATCAAATATTTCATAAATGAAGGTTTTCAAGGGCTTCAATCAAAAGGCATCGGATTCTAGGGACCATGCTTAGCCTTAGGAAGGGTAAAGGCTATAAGAACACCCTTTATAAGGGTTTACGGTCTATGGAGATTCACTAAACCGTAAACACCTTTTGTTCTTGAGTTTCTTGATGTTTTCTAGGTGTTTAACAAGTGATTCAATTATATAACAAGCTAAGGGTAGTGTACTTACTTATTAGAAGCTTGTAAGGATGATTAGGATTCAAAAAACAACCGTGTTCTTGAGGATCTTTGATGATTTGTTGAAGATTTGGAAGCAAAATCTTATGATTTTTGAGAGAGAAATCGGCTCCTATGCTTGAAAAGTGAAAAGAATGGATGAAATGATCAACCATTATATATATAGGGAGGAGTTTACGGTTACCCTGACCGTAAACTCAAGGTCTCGACCGTAAACTCCTTTTTGAGGAGGTTTACGGTTGCTAGGTAGTTTAGAACTTAAAGTGACACTTCCAAATACTAATTCCTTTGATTCACTAGAGTTAGAATACTCAAAACAGGTTCCAAACAGTGATAACTGGAAGCAAAATGAGTCTAACACTGATAAATTTGAATGTTTACACAAGTTAGAAATTTCGGGTTGTCACATCATCCCCCCGTAAGAGGGAATTTCGTCCCGAAATTAGAGTTTAAGCAACTAAATTATTACAAATAACTAAGTAAAAAGATGAGGATATTTCAGTTTCATTTGATCCTCGCGCTCCCAAGTGAATTCAGGTCCTCGCTTGGCGTTCCAGCGAACCTTCACTATTGGGATACGGCTTTGCTTCGTTTGCTTGACCTCTCGGTCCATGATTTCTATAGGTTCTTCCACGAAGTTGAGGCTCTCGTCGATCTCGTCGACTGGGATAACAAGAGTCTCGTCGGACAGACACTTTTTCAAGTTTGAGACGTGGAAAAACAGGATGTATGTTACTTAGTTCTTAAGGTAGACAGAGTTTGTAAGCTACGGGACCGATTCTAGCAAGAATCTCGAATGGTCCTATGTACCTTGGATTTAACTTGTCATGCTTTCCAAAGCGTATCATGCCTTTCCAGGGTGATACCTTCAACATGACGCGGTCACCAACCTGAAACTCCAAAGGTTTTCTTCTTTTGTCAGCGTAGCTTTTCTGTCTATCTCTGGAAGCTTTAAGTCGCTCCCGGATTTGTACGATTTTCTTCGTGGTTTCGCGAATGATTTTCGGACCAGTGAGGGCACCGTCAGGAACTTGACTTCTAGCTAACTGCGTATCACCCACTTCAGCCCAGCACAGAGGGGATCTGCACTTACGGCCATAGAGAGATTCGAAAGGAGCAACTTTTATGCTAGTGTGATAACTATTGTTGTAAGAGAATTCGACAGGGGGTAAATGAGTATCCCATGCCTTACCAAAGTCTATCACGCAAGCTCGCAACATATCTTCTAAAGTTTGAATTGTCCTCTCACTTTGTCCGTCAGTCGGAGGATGGTAGGCTGTACTCATGTCCAGCCTAGTTCCCAAAGATTTTTGTAAAGACTGCCAAAAGTGAGAAGTGAATCTGCTATCTCGGTCGGAAATAATAGATATTGGAACACCATGCAGTTTAACGATTTCTTTGAGATAAGTTCTTATTAGTTTCTCCATTTTGTCGGTTTCTTTGATTGGTAAGAAGTGTGCGGATTTGGTTAATCTATCGACGATTACCCAAATAGTATCATAACCACCCGATGTCTTGGGTAACTTGGTTATGAAATCCATTGTAATCCGCTCCCACTTCTATTCTGGTATTTCAGGTTGTTGTAATAAACCTGAAGGTTTCTGGTATTCTACCTTTACTTTGCGCAAGTAAGACACTTGCCGACGAAGGTAGCGATTTCGGCCTTCATGTTAGGCCACCAGTATAGTTTCTTAAGGTCTAGATACGTCTTGTCTGAACCTGGATGAATGGAGTATCGAGTTTTGTGTGCTTCATTCATGACTACTTCTCTATAACCACCAAAATTAGGTGTCCAGATCCGGTTCATGAAACAATAGACTCCATCATCCCTGACTTTGAAATTTTTATCCATTCCTCTCAAAGTTTCACCTGCCACATTTTCAGGTTTTAAGGCCTCGAGTTGAGCCTCTCTGATCTGTGTGGACAGATGTGAATGGATTGTCATGGTCAACGACTTTACTCGGTGTCCCGAGTATTCTTTTCTGCTAAGGGCGTCGGCTACAACGTTAGGTTTACCAGGGTGATAAAGAATCTCACAATCGTAGTCGTTCAGTAGCTCCACCCACCGTCGTTGTCTCATGTTCAACTCTTTTTGATTGAAGATGTGTTGGAAACTTTTATGGTCCGTGAATACTGTGCATTTCGTGCCATATAAGTAATGTCTCCAGATCTTCAGAGCGAATACCACTGCTCCTAGCTCAAGATCATGTGTTGTATAGTTGACTTCATGTGTCTTTAGCTGTCTTGAGGCATAGGATATCACCTTTCCTCTTTGAATAAGAACACATCCAAGCCCTTGATTTGAAGCATCACAGTACACTACAAAATCCTCTGTCCCTTCAGGGAGAGACAGGATTGGTGCACCACACAAGGCTCGTTTTAGCGTTTGGAATGTTGTTTCTTGTTTTTCTCCCCAACTAAAAGTTACACCCTTTTGCGTCAGAGTGGTAAGAGGTTTAGCTATTCGAGAGAAATTCTGGATGAATCTGCGATAATAGCCAGCAAGACCTAAGAATTGACAAATTTTTGTATGTGTTTTGGGTGCTGACCAGTTTTCAATTGCCTTTATTTTGGAAGGGTCGACGTGTATTCCTTCTGAACTGACCACGTGACCTAGGAAATCAACCTTCCTGATCCAAAATTCACACTTTGAAAACTTCGCATAAAGTTTCTTTGTTCTAAGAGTTTGAAAAACTTGACGAAGATGTTGGCTATGATCCTCTTCATTTCTTGAGTAGATAAGGATGTCGTCAATGAAGACTATGACGAATTTTTCCTAGAATGGACGACACACTATGTTCATTAAATCCATGAACACAGCATGTGCATTCGTCAATCCGAATGGCATCACTACGGATTCATAATGACCATAACGAGTTCTGAACGCGGTTTTGGGAATGTCATTCTCCAAAATTCATAACTGGTGATACCCGGATCTTAAGTATATTTTTCAGAAATAGCTCGCACCTTGAAGTTGGTCGAACAGATCGTCTATGCGAGGCAGAGGGTATCGATTCTTAATGGTAAGTTTATTCAGCTCGCGGTAGTCTATGCACATACGGAACGATCCATCCTTCTTCTTCACGAACAAAATCGGTGCTCCCCAGGGTGAGAAGCTTGGTCTTATGAAACCTTTGCTAAGGAGTTCGTTAAGCTGGCTGGACAATTCCTGTATTTCTGAAGGTGCAAGAAGATAAGGAGATTTGGCGACAGGGGTAGCCCCTGGAATTAAATCGATTTTGAATTCGACTTGTCGTTCGGGAGGTACTCCTAGAAGATCATCGGGAAAAGGTCGAGAAAGTTACAGACTTCAGGAATTTTCGCGATATCTTTCACTTCTTGCTTTTTGTCTACCACGTGAGCTAAGAAAGCACAGTACTCTTTGCGAAGGTACTTCTGTGCCTTAATGCAAGAAATGATATGGAGGTTCGTTCCGGATTCATAATGACCATAACGAGTTCTGAACGCGGTTTTGGGAATGTCATTCTCCAAAATTCATAACTGGTGATACCCGGATCTTAAGTATATTTTTCAGAAATAGCTCGCACCTTGAAGTTGGTCGAACAGATCGTCTATGCGAGGCAGAGGGTATCGATTCTTAATGGTAAGTTTATTCAGCTCGCGGTAGTCTATGCACATACGGAACGATCCATCCTTCTTCTTCACGAACAAAATCGGTGCTCCCCAGGGTGAGAAGCTTGGTCTTATGAAACCTTTGCTAAGGAGTTCGTTAAGCTGGCTGGACAATTCCTGTATTTCTGAAGGTGCAAGAAGATAAGGAGATTTGGCGACAGGGGTAGCCCCTGGAATTAAATCGATTTTGAATTCGACTTGTCGTTCGGGAGGTACTCCTAGAAGATCATCGGGAAAAGGTCGAGAAAGTTACAGACTTCAGGAATTTTCGCGATATCTTTCACTTCTTGCTTTTTGTCTACCACGTGAGCTAAGAAAGCACAGTACTCTTTGCGAAGGTACTTCTGTGCCTTAATGCAAGAAATGATATGGAGGTTCGTTCTGGGTTTGTCGCCATAAATAACAAGAGTTTCATTAGTTGGCAAGTTCAGACGAATGGCTTTTTCATAACATAGGATGTCAGCCTGGTTAGGACACAACCAATCCATACCTATTATTACGTCGAAACTCTTGATAGAGACCGGCATAAGGTCAATTGGGAACGAAAAGTTATTCAAGGTAAGAGTACATCCTATGTATATTTCGTTGGTGGATTCGGATTTCCCGTTAGCCATTTCGACTGTGAATGTTTCTTTTAATGGTTGGGAGTTTTGATTTAGCAAGTGTTTGAAATTATGGCTCACAAAACTCTTCTCAGCACCATAATCAAATAGAATGCATGCATAAGTGTTGTTGAGAAGGAACGTACCCGTAACTACTGCGGGATTTGCTACTTCTTCTTCCTGGCCCAAAGCTAAAATTCTCCTCACTCCACCTGCATTTCCAGCTTTAGGACAATCTCTCTTGAAATGCTCCACTTCACCACACTGATAACATGCTTGACCAACTCCAGCCGCATGTACTTGGTTAAGTGGTTGGGGTGGTGCTCTACAGAATCGGGCGGTATGCCCTTTTCTGTTGCAGTTACGACACTGCATTTCCCTGTAATTTCCATTATGGTGAAAATTGCACTTTTTGCACTTTGGAAGATTACCAGCATAAGGCTTGGCTGGTGCTGGATTAACAGGAACAACAGTAGGTACAGTCGCAATGTTGACTGTAGCCAGTTGTTGTTTCTTTGAGGAATCCTGTGAAAACTTTCCCTTCCTCTTGTTCCGACCCTTATTGTTGTTGTTGTTGTTGTTTCCCTTTGGTTGTTCTGGTGTAGCAACCACCGAGTGTTGATGGATTCCATGATCAATAATAGATTGTGCCAGCTCTTTGGCACTGTCAAAAGTAACAGGCCTTAAAAGCTAAAACACTAGATTGAATTTGGGGCGACAGTCGCCAAATATATCTCTCAATCTTTTTGCTCTCTAGAGCAACCATATCCGGGCAAAGAATTGCCAGATCACAAAATCTACTAGTATAGGTTGATATATTAGAACCAACCATTGAGAGACCCCAGAGCTCCTCCTCAAGTTTCTGAACTTCGCCTCGCGGACAATACTCCCGCATAAGCATACCCTTGAAGTTCTCCCAACTGATCGAATTAGCCACTACCAGAGTAAGTGACTTAACGTGACCATTCCACCACGTCAAAGCTCTTTCCAAAAAAGTGCAATCAGCGAACTTGACTTTGCTGTTGTCAGGACAGGAGCAAATTTCGAATATTGCTTCTGTCTTCTCTATCCATTGCCTTAATGCCATAACTCCTCCAGTTCCATTAAAGGTCCTGGGTTTGGCATTGGTAAAATCTTTATAAGTGCATTCTCGCGAATGCCCATGACCTTCACCCTGGTTAGGGGGATTTGTACCAGCTCCAGACCCACTAGCACCAGAAGTATTGATCTGAGCCATAGCAGCAGCTACAGCCGCCGTGACCGCCGCTTGGAACATAGCGGGGTCGAACTGAGGAGGTGGTGGTGGAGGTGGTACCGGTGGTTCATTAACATTTTGACGTCTTGGATTTCTACGAGGAGGCATCTTTTTCTATAAAAGTCAAAATATAAAAAGATGGTAAGATATCAAGAGTGAATATGAATTCTGATATCTCTGAACTAAAACATATAGTTCGATATGAATCTTGGAATGAAT